ACACCTCTTCTAAAGCAGAGATTTCAGGGTTATTGTTGCACAAGCTAGCCTATCCTGGTGGGCTGTGAGATGGACCCCCAAATGGGAAGCTATGCCAGTGTTGACTCATCTCTCTTGCTCTGCTTTCAACAAGCTGTCTTCTTAAAGAGACCTAATTTAGCTGACACGAGCCTTTACTTAGGTAAGCGCTGTGGAACATGTGCCAGGGAAAGTTCTTCTATCATAAGTCCTCTTTCAACCCTAGCCTTAAGTATTGTTTTTTTAAGTGCCATCAAGTCGATTCCAATTCGTAACAGCCTGGTATAGGGTTCGTAAGGAGTGACTGGTGAGTTTGAACCGCCAACTTCATGGTTAGTAGTCAAGTGCATATCTACAGTGCAACACTAGGACTCCTGAATTGCTATTGTTGTTAAATGCTGTCAAGTCAGTTCTGACTTATAGCGACCCTGTATCGGGTTTCCGAGAAGTAGTTGGTGAGCCTGAACCGCCAACCTTGTGATTCAAACCGATCTTGCAGTCCAGTGCATTAACCTACAGAGCCACACTAAGGCTCCAGTCAAGGGTCCTGATGTGCCTCTGTAGAATAAGCATTGGACTACTAACTACAAGGTGGGTGGTTCAAACGCACTAGCTGCTCCTCAGAAACCCTATACAGGGTTGCTGAGTCAGAACTGACTCCACAGCACTTACCAAGGGAGTATAAAGAAGTCCTGGTGGGACACTGGGTTAAGTGTTAGGTAACTAACTGAAAGGTCAGTAGGTCTCCTATTCTGAGGGAGAAAGATGAGGTAGTCTGCAGCTGTAAAGATTACAGCCCTAGAAACCCCATGGGACAGTTCTACCTTGTCCTAAAGGGTCATTGTGAGTTGTAATCAACTTGATGTCAGTGGGTAGCACATAAGGGATTATAAACTTCCCTTCTATTCTGTAGGCCTAGCATTGTTCTTAGAATATTGTTAAACTCTATGCAAGGGCTTAAATCTTGAATAATCTCAGGTCAACTATGATTTTCCTTACCATCACAATGTACAAAATCCAAACAATGTCACCATCTTCATGGTTACACCTTGACTCCAGCCATCACCATCCCTGGGCTGGACTACTTTAATAGTCTCCTAAATTGAAATACTTCAGAAAAGTGAGGCGGCACAGGAGGTACTCACTCATCTCTGCCAAGAAATTTGGAAGACAACTATCTGGCCCACTGACTGAAGAGATATGTATTTGTGCCCATTCCAGAGAGGTGACCCAATGGAATGCAGAAATCATCGGACAATCTCTTTGATATCCCATGCGAGTAGTTTTACTACAGGTATTACAGAAACGGCTGCAAGCCTACATTGACAGAGAACTTCCAGAGATTTAAGCCAGATTCAGAAGAGGCTGTGGAACCGGGATATCATTGCTGATGTCCGATGGATCTTGGCTGAAAGCAGAGA